CTAAGCCACCACCTCTACCAGTTAGCCTAGGTGAGCTAAAGAAGGCACAGTCAGGAGGTAGAAGCTCAGAGAAGGGGATGAACTCACCCGGAGAAGTCCAGGTCTCCGTTAGAAATAGGACATCCAGTCCCGAGGTGAGAAAAAAGTCATTTAGGAGGAAGGCCTTATTTGAAAGAGACCTGACATTAAATAAGGCCATCCGAATCCGGGGGGCCAGGACCTTTGTAGTAGCCCGTCGCAAGGAGCAAAGGTTGTTATGTTGAACACCGCGGCCAGGCAGTGTTATCCAAGATCGGGCAGAGTGGTAAGCCACTGGGCGAGCAGGGTAGGTTTGAAGGCCGACGGAGCAAATCCAACGGTGAGTTAGCAATCTAGCCGCAGAGTGGCTGCTGAGATAGTGGAAGAAACAGGATAGCTCACGGCTTGTAGAAGGGAAGTCCATAGCCATGGCTCTGATATAAGCCTTAACGCGGACACGGACGCCGCTCCTCCTACCCCGTTTCCTGAAGCGTTTCCTATGGAGCATGGGAAGAGGAGGATAGGTCACATAGGTAGGGGAGACAGGCATCAGGGGGATAGCGGCACCGGCGGTCCCAAGGCAGTCAGGTCGTTGAGAACAGGAAAACCGAAGATTCAGGAGCGTGTCTCTGTCATAAGTTATTAGTGTACAATCACCTAGAGAACATAAAACCAAAGATAAAACAACGAGAAGTACAACGCCGAGGCGAAGACGTGGTCGGAGACGGTCAGCCATGCACACCGGCGCCATCTTGCCCACTGCTTACACAGCTACCACAAAATTTATTTTCATGCAGTCAAAGAATTTTTCATTACTGCTATTACTTCAAACTCTCTGAATGTTGAATTCATCACTCGGCTTTTATTATTTCCTATCAGCTTTAAGTCTCAAACGTGAGCATCACAGCAGTAAAACTTTGGATCTGTCTGCGGCAGGCAGAAGATTGACAGCAGGCTAAACCAATCAGAGGAGGGCAGTCCTGTAAACACCATCACATACTTCATGTATAAAATAAAGAGTTTTTACCTCGTGTTTGTGGTCCTTGAATCAAAGTTCAAACCTTATCAGTTATTTAACCCTCCTGCCATCCTTTAAAAAACTCACACCCATCACCCTAGGGACCATTCTCAGCCACGCCATAAAAAGACCATATATCCATATTTTATTCCACTTTAAATTAGCCAACCTTGTAAAACTACTTCTCCCTGAAATATTCATGTAAAGTTTTAATTATATTTTCGTTGTTTTAACCCTTCAAATCCCAGTGTTATTACATGAGCGCCCTGTGTTATAAGCCCCAAAAACCAAAAAACGAAACTAAATATTTCCACAAAAAACCAGTTGAAGTAATATGTGATTGTCATTATAAGTAGGCCTTTAGATGGACCAAAGATTGGCACCAACATACATTTTGACCTGCCATTATTTTTTTTGCATTTTTTTTGCAATTTAAAAATTAAAACTTCAAGGCCCTGAGTCTTCATTGACATCCAAGAAAAGAAGAAAAAATAAAATCATATGATGATAATTTGGGGTTGAAAAATAGCGTTTATAATGGAAGTCAATGGGCAGAAAATGGTCCCCAGGGTGATGGATGTGGGGATTTCTGCTGCTCAGCCATTTTAGGCTGATTTAAGGAATTCACACTGGAATATTAACATTGACAGGTAAAAACTATCCTGTGGCAAGTTTGGTTATATTCCACTGAACACAGTGGAAATGGCAGCCATTTAACACATAGCAGTGGCACAAAAAGGTCCCAAGAAGGCAGGAAGGTTAAGCTGAGTGGCTTCTGTTAAACACGTGAAATAAAAACCCTGCAGAGACAAACAAAGACGCATTAATGTGTCTGAAAAAGTTTATTTAACAGAGAGAAGATGAAGTGTGTCATAAAGCTGGAGCAGTTCTACTGACGCAAACATCAAACTGAGTTTCTGGAGTTCAGTCAATTTGTACATTAACATCTTAAAACAAACAAACAGCAAATATTTTGATTATTGCTGAAGAATTAAAATAAAAAACAAAAACATTTGTATTTTAATCATTTCAGAAGTCAAGAGAAAGAGTTCATCGAATACTGAACAAACTTCCATCCATCCTCTTATCTTTATTAGGGTCACAGGGGGCGGAGCCTATCCCAGTTACGCAGGTGGAGAGGCGTGTACACCTGTACAGGTCCACAGCCTGTCGCAGGAGAAACATGAGAACATAAAAACAGTTTGGTGTTGATGAGAAAATCAAACTTGAACTGTTTGATTTCATACCTGCTGTGTGACAGGAGGTCAGAGGTCAGCAGAGGTGCCGAGTCAGCAGGTCCCAGAGGCAGCAGCAGCACAGGAGAGTCGAGCACGCCGCCAGACACGACTTCCTGCCGCCGCCCTGATCCTGCTGCTGATCCACCACGTAAACTGGAAGGACAGGAAGTCACATGACTAAAGCCTGCAGGATGCATACCCAGTATAACAACCAGTTATGACGGCTCTACAGTTTTTTCTATTTTGGGATCCGTATGATGTCATAGAGAGGAGAAATCCTTGTATGGCCATCAGAGAAGCCCCGCCTCCTGTTTGTGAGGGACAGCCAATCAGAAAACCTTGTTTTTCTTGTTTTATATGTATTTTCTTTTATGTGGTTATGTGTTCATGACGACTCAGACTCGCAGCTGCTGAGGTCGTCTGAGCATGTGCAGAGGAGGGAGGGTGGAGGCTGAGGATGGAGGAGGAAGATTTTTCCCCACTATGACACACTATGCTGACCCTGCCTGAGCTCTCTGTGTCGTGACCTTTGACCTGCCTGCGTGTTTTGGTGGGTACGAGGCCCCTGGGGGCCCGTCGAGCCTGCCCTGGTAGGCCGACTGGGTCCCAAAGGTGCTCTGTGGGGTCATCGGAGCCATGTAACCTGGATGTTCATGGTAATAGGACTGAGGGAAGGTCTGCAGAGGAAACACGTGGTTACCATAGTAACACTGATGGTCATGTGACAGTTCGTTAATTTGAAGAAAAATTTATTTTCATGCAGTCAAAGAATTTTTAAATCCTAAAACTGAAAAGAGGCTGAAATATAAAACCAGAAGCTTCATAATCTCTGATGATCCTCAGGATGCTGCAGCAGTGCATGCTGGGTACCTGGTACGGAGAGCTGGGGAAGAAGCCAGGCTGACAGGCAAGAGCTGTAAAGAAACAACAGGATCAAAACTTAAAGCTCAGTCTGAGAAATGAAAACAGCTGATTGGCTCAGATTCTGCAGGTTTCCTGAACTGAATTCTTCTGTCCCAGCCGCCTGTGAACGCACCTCAGCCGCCTGTGAACGCACCTCAGCCGCCTGTGAACGCACCTCAGCCGCCTGTGTGCCTGCATCCTCCCTGCTCTACCCTCCTTCCTCCTCTTCCTCCTCCTCCCTGCTCCACCCTCCTTCCTCCTCCTCCCTGCTCCACCCTCCTTCCTCCTCCCACCTGCTCCACCCTCCTTCCTCCTCCACCCTGCTCCACCCGTGTGAGTAAAGGCAGAAGAAGCTCATCACATAACTAAACTTTAACTAATGACTTTAATAAAGGCTGTTGCTGTGGCAGTGATGGTCCGTGTTGGTCAAGTTACTTGAAAAAAGTAATTAGTAATTAATAACCAGTGATGGGAATAACAGAGTTACCAACGGCGTTACTAACGGCGTTACTTTTTCAGTAACGAGTAATCTAACTAATTACTATTCCTATCGTTACAACACCGTTACCGTTACTAACAAGGAAATGCGGTCTGTTACTGTTTTTCAACAGACGGCTGAAGCTGTGTTCAGCTCACTGCAGCTTATATCAGCTGCAGGAAGTAGCTGTAAGAATCAGGACGCTGCAGCTTTAAGCAGCTGCGCTCCTGCGGACGGTAACCATCACTTTCTGGCACAACAGCTGGAGCTCAGGGGGCAAAACAATCGCACGAGTGCTGCTGTTTGACTGAGGAAGAATAAAGGAGTCGTGGTCAATCACATGACCACTTACAGACAAAGCAACAAGGTGACATATACCAGTTTATAAACTGTGTTGATCGGCCAGTAAAACCAGAGTCATGATAAACAAGATAACAAGTTAAAAGGTTAAAACTAATAAAGTTTTAAAAAGAGACTTTTCCATTTGATTACATTTTGTATGATGATGATGCAGAAAAAGCAGAACTGGGCTGAAAGATCTAAATTGTGTTTTTAAAAAGTAACTAAGTAATTAATTACTTTTGAAAATAAGTAATCAGTAAAGTAACAGGATTACTTTTTGGAGGGAAGTAATCAGTAATTAGTTACTGATTACTTTTTTCAAGTAACTTGACCAACACTGTATACAACAGTCTTATTTACACTCTTTCAAATAGATGCAAGTAAAACAGCAGAAAGAAGTAAAATCAAAGCCTCAGCAGCTCTGAGTCCTGTCGCTCTGTTGTCACCTGTTTAGCAGGAGTGGGGCGGGTGGAGGTGCCACAGCCGTCATGTCAGTGGGCGGATCCGGCACTCAGTGCTTGTTGGAAGTTTAGGGGTTTTTTCGCTGTAAAAAGAAGTTTTCTTCCCACGCACAGCGGACACTAATGTTTTTGTCACTTTTTATGGAATCAAACTCAAAGTAATGTGATTACATCCACGCTTTAAACGCTGCACGCTCATACTCTCTCTGCACTCGATATATTACCACTGTTGATCTGCACACAGCTGTTGTCACGAACGTCGCGCTCGCTTACGTCACTGTCATGAGACATTCTCGCAATAAAATCACGGTTTTAGCAACGCAGGGTTCCTACGGGAAAGTAACGGTAATCTAATTAGCTTTATTCCAATGGTAATCCCTTACTTTACTCGTTACTTGAAAAAAGTAATCTCATTACAACGCGTTACTGCCCATCACTGGTGATGGCACATGCCAACCTTTGACCTCTGTGGCTGAACATGAAGCCAGTTTTGTGTCTTTCAGAGTAAAACTTGTGCAGCGCTGTTGCACACAGGAAGTGATGTCAAAGATAAAAGAAGACAGACCTGGAGAGAAGACGGGGGCCGAGGGGCCCTCAGGGAAGTGAGGACGGTACGGCGGAGGCTCGGCGCTCATCCTGGAGGGACGGTCGGCTGATGGCGTCGCTGTAGAAGAGGAGAGCAGAGACACTGAGCGGCTGTCTGAGCGTGGATGCTGACGCGTCTCCTGAGTCAGAGTCAGGTCAGTGAACGCTGCCTCACAGCTCCATAATCCAATCTGCTGCCACAGACCTCCACCTCTCTGTCAACACTGTTTTTATTCACGCTCAGGATTGTTGGTGTCAGCTGAGCCTTATTACCGTCTGCACAGCACAAAACTTCCAGCTGAGACACAAAGAAGCTTTCAGATGTTTGAACGGGGACTCAAGGTTTCCCATAATTACTTCAGAGCTTCAGTTTAGTCGTCATTACTTTATTACCAGACAACAGAAAGTTCATTTTAACCAAATAACCAGACTCCATTCACGAATCCTGCAATTTAAGGTTTTACAAGCAATCCTAAGAATTCCAAACTAATTCATTTTACACTTCTGGAATTTTACAGTTTCAAAGTGTCGTCTCTTCAGTTCGTCTCTGTTTAACCCACCTCACTGCAAAAAAACGTCAGAATCCAGGAAACTTTGACCTCAGTCTGCTGCCCGCCTGTAAGAAACCTGCAGTCATCACAGAGCCTTTAAACGTGTGGTTTTTAAATGGAGTCTGGTGTGACAGAATCTGAACTCACCTTCCAGCTGAAGACAAACTTCTGCTAAATCATTGATTTTCTCTCCGGTGAGCTGACAGACGACTGACGGGCTGAGGAGGGCAGACAGCTGCCAGAGGCAGAGGAGGTGAGGTCAGAGGTCTCCTCCTCCTGCTCCTCCTCCTGCTCCACTGATGGTGGCTTCCTGTTTGTTTTTCTTACAGCGTTTGGGCTCAGACTAGTTCACAGGAAGCCAAATAAAGTCTGCAGCTTTCAGGAGTCACCCTGGAAACAGCTTCAGAGATATCTGCTCATACAAACTGATCACTGATCAATAACATTCAGCCTCATCTCTTTATTTTTTTGTTGATAATTTATCATCTTTGAACGTATTTTAATTTTTCAATATTTTTCATTTTTGGTTCTGTTTTTCTGTCTTTTTTACATTTTTAATATTTTATTTTTCACTTTTTAAAATCGTTTTTAACTGTTTCTGTTTTATTATTTTGTTATTTGTTGTCTTTGTTTTACACAAACAATAATAATATCGATTTTTCTTTCCCATTATATGTGTTATTGTTTCATAGATAATAATGTTTTACATTTGTATTAATAAGATTTATTATTTTATTAACATTTTTATTACTTGTATGATTTTTGTGCTTACTTTTAAAATATTTATATTCATTATAAATGTTTTTTACATTTTTATTTAATTTAATGTGTAAAAAATAAATACAATTTTTTTTACATATAAATTATTTCTTTAAACAGCTGTTGCTCGAGTTTCATACCAGAAAAAAATGTTTTTATCAGTTTATTATTGGTTCATTTATACATGACATCATTGATCACTTTTACTGCGAGGAAACAACGACAGCCTGTCAGATGCTCAGAAACTCAATCTTACCTAATAACAGTAAATACAGCACAGCTTCTATTTAAGGGTACGTCAGCCAATCAGGAAGCAGAAGGAGAGTCAGATGTCACTGTGGGCGTGGCATTTGTTTCAGTTCATGCCTGCATGCAAACTGCTGCTTTCAGCACAGGAAACAGGCCAGTTTATCTTCAGTCTGTTTCTCCAGCGCGTGTTCATCGCCCTCTGGTGGCCGAGTTAGTCAGTGCAGCTTTAAAACACGATAATGAAGCTCAAAGCAGAACAAACAGACGCGTCTCTACAGTTTTTGCTACGTGTCCTCTGTTTACAGGAAGTCTTCCTCCACCTTGGATGTGAAGCGGTCCTTTTTACTAACGTGGGCGGATTTTCACTGTTACCCTTTGAGCCGATCGCCACCTCCTCTGCTCCTCCCTCGTTTGTGCTCGTTTGTGCTTGTGGTGGTGACAGACCCTGGAGAGCCGCACAGAGTTCAGGTGAGGCCGTGGCAGTCACACACAGTGACTGCCACGGCCTCACCTGAACTCTGTGAGTAACTGTGAGTAACTCTAACATCATCAGTCACACACAGAGACTGATGATGTTACCTCTCAAATCAAACGCCTCACAGTTAGGAGGAGCAGATGTGACTCCGCCCCTCGAGGGGAGGAGCTGTGACGACAGGGAACAAGAAAATGAACTTCAGTTACGACTCATAACCTCGGTTCTATGTGCACAGATGGAGCTGAAGGGGTCAAAGGTCAGGGCTCAGCCTTGTTTATGGTGTGGATGGATGTTTTCAGCGATGAACCTGCTAGCCTTTAAACTTTCGGACGTGTTGGTGGAGGTTTTGATCGATTTCGTCCTTCACTCATCCTGCTGATCAATCACAGCGACTGATTCAGGTGTGTTTGTGGTCCAAGCATCGTGTTCTGGAGTTGCTGGTGATGTCACTCAGCCAGGCGGACCACCAGAGCCCTATGTGCACAGAGTTCAGCCAATCAGAGGCCGGTCTGGAGGCCCAGTGTGGTCAGGGGTAACATATCTGGAGAATCAGCTACCCTAACCCCTGGGGGCTCTGGTGGTCCCGCCTTCATCATTAGGACGTGGCGGCCTGTTTGTTGCGGAAAGTTTCAAAAAACGCCATCATGCCCTTCCTCACACTGCTGCTGCTGCCGCTACCCTTCGCCATCCTCTGCGCCATCATGCTGGAGCTGCTGCCGCCATGGTGACGGGATGTGAGGGGAGGGAAGGCGGCGCCATCCATGGAGTTGGCCCGTTTCACCTTTGACGGGTTTGCACGCCATGATTTGGTCCTTGGGGGAGGAGTCTGAGCCACCAGACACTTCTGATACTGGACCTGAAGGAGCAACAGCAGCCAACAGAGGGCGCCAGAGGAATGATTTATTCTTAAGATCAATATTTATGCAATATATCAACAAAGTCCTCAAACCAAAACTCTGAGTGTACGTCAGGTGATCAGTGTGATGTCCGTGGCATCGCTCACCATGCACGCAGCCTGGACGGCCTCGGAGATGATCCCAGCGTCCGGTTCACACCAGAACACGTGACATTCAAACTGCTGCGTGCCGCCATCCACGATCACTGCGAAGGTGTGGCTGTCGTGACCGACGCCCAGGAAGGTGAGGAAGCGTACCTGACACTCCCAGAATGGCTCGTCGCCGTCCTGTCAGCACGACAGGAGGAGGGTTAAACACAGCCATGATGACCTTTGACCTGAAGTCTATGTGCATCGAGGACTGTACCTCTCCTTTCCACAGAGACAGGACGTTATCGGTGACGTGGATCACGGTCGGCTCCCAGTCGTCTCGGTCTGTGGAGTTCATGATGCTTTCTATCGCTCGGTTCAACACCTCCATACCTGCGACACACATCAGCGACCTTTAACCTTTTAATCACACAATATTAAAACACTCCTACTGGTTACACTAAACATTCACAGAGGGCTTTATTTCCACCGAGGCCCTCCTGATCGGAGACCTCAACATCTGCAATCGTCCACGTCAGATGTTCCCTGTGGCGCTTCAGGCCAGTTTCAGGTCGCTCAGCTGAGCCGTGCATCTCCAGGTTTCATGACCAGGACTCACCTGGTCTCATGTTTGGGAGCCGTGTATAAAAAAGATCCTAAATAATTAGAGCAGTATTTTGTTAAGTCGCTTGAATTAAAGCTGAAAGTCTGCATCATGGTTGTCTGATGATCACCTGTATGTGCGTGCTGTACATGAGTGTATATCATGGTCCAAAGCACCAGTGTTTCCAGTGAATGCATATTAATGGTTGAGCTCAGCCCAGGTGTGACAGGTGTGTTTATGTCCTACCCATGGCTCGCGACACCGGCAGGTTGCCGATGTACTGGACCTCAAACTTCTGCACCTGCTGCCGCACTGCCTCCAGAAACTCCACTGAAACGACAGCAAGATCAGTAATCAGCCAAAATTAGTGCAGGACCAATCAGAGCGCAGCGTCTACACTAAGGACGCACGGCAGGTGACTCACCTTGTCTCGGCAGGTCCTCAGGTGAGATGCTCTCCATGGTCAGGGAGCGGGACGGCCTCATCAGAGCCTTCTCAGACATCATCTAAACACAGAGTGTAGCGGAGTAAAAAACGCTGACCTCTGACCTCTCAGGTAAACCAGCTGACCCACAGCTGCAGGTGACCCTGAGATGTGGGTGACCTCCACTGACCTTTGAGCACATCTCATGCAGCGCCGTGGCGATGGCTTTGGCTGGAGCGTCGCAGCGAAACACGTGACACTTCAGCACACAGCTGTCCTTATCCCCCGCCACGAAGGCAAAGTCCCTGAATGCACCACACACACACGCACACACGCACGCACACGCACACACACACGCACACGCACGCGCACACGCACACGCACACGCGCACACACACACACACACACACACACACACACACACACAGCGGACCGATCAGGTGGTGATCAGCAGCTGAACTCAGTTAATGACCCTGACATGTGGAGGAGGCTGTGAGTGTAAGGGTAGTGGTTTACCTGTCCCTGCCCAGGTGTGAGGGGGCGTGGCAAAGAAACACAGAGAGTTAGTGTAAACAAACCGAAGCATGCAGGAGCACAAACCAGGAGTTCAGGTCAGCGAAGCACAAACACAGGAAGCGGGGAAATACGCTCTCTGATTGGCTCACCTGCCATTGTTGCAGCCCACCCCCAAACACGGATATTGATGATTGGCTGACAGTGCAGGGGGTGTGGTCTAATGGGTCCAACAGGGTCAGGGTGTCTTTTTTCAGAACTAGCATCATCTCGCGGCCCTGCAGACAGACAGGTGGATGGACAGGTGATAAACAGGTTCCACAGGACACACGTGCACTTCCTGCATCCTGCCACAGGAGGGCAGCAGGTGTCTCACCTCCCCCCAGGCACCCAGCCGGTCTCTCTGCTCGGGGCTGCTGCAGTGAGACAGCTGCTGGATGACGTTACTAACAGCGAGGCTGCTGCGACCAGGAGAAAGGTCCTCCTCCTCCACCTGCAGCCAGCCGAGGGAGCGCACGGCAAAACACTGGACAGGTGGAGGGGGAGACAGGTGGAGGGGGAGACAGGTGGAGGGGGAGACAGGTGGAGGGGGAGACAGACGGTAGGTTGATGGGTGACAAACAGAAACCAGGACACAGAGGCAGAGAGATTAAATCAGATTAATGCGCAATAAAACGAGGTCGAGAGACACAGACACAAACAAAGAGAGAGAGAGAGTGAGATTAGCGCAGATTAGAGCACCAGAATAAGTCCTGGACCAACGAGGACCTCTCGTTTCTGTGTTCAACACGTCGTTCCAGAAACCTCTCCATCATTTTCATCATGTTCACACAGGAAGTCGAATGTGCCCTTAATTTATTACCTGTGTAAATGAACCATAACCACAGGGGGCGCTGTGGCCCCAGTCAGAGTTAAAGTGACAGAGTTTTTATTTATTTGACAGAATCAGGTATTATTAATGTTGCTGTCTCACCTTGGAGTCGGGGTCGTGGTTGGTGAGGTCATCTTCGTGCCACGAAGACCTGAGAAACAAAAACAGTATCACCTGCACAGGTGTAGAGTGCAAACAGCAGGTCCTCATGATTACAAGGATCAGTGTGTCCTCATAAGTCTGCAGAACTACAGTGAGGACCAGGGTCGGGGTCCAGGACACACCTGTGGGGATGTTTGTAACCAGTGGGGACAGCTGTGACGGGACTTCAGCTGTACGAGGACGTGTTTACAGTGAGGATGTGTGTCCACTGTGAGGATGTGTGTCCACTGTGAGGATGTGTGTCCACTGTGAGGACGTTTAGTCGTCATTCTTTAAAGGACAGCTGAGTGTCCTGGACCTGGACACCTTTAAGCTGTCATGGTGGGAACACATCACCCATACTGCACATGTATGTGTTACCTGTCCTCAGGTGGTCCTTCTGTCTCCTTGTTGGAGCTCTGCTGTCCAGCCTCCTCCTGCTGAGACACCACAGAAGAAGAAAAGCCTGAGGTGACCGGGTCAATCTGAGCAGGTTTACTGGAGCAGGTCTGCTTCTTCTCACCTGGGCATCGAGCAGCTGCGGTGTCCCTGTAAGACGGGGATGTTGCCACTGGGTGGCGCCGGTGGGAACGTGCCAGTAGTACGTTCCCGTGGAGTCTTTGATGGTTCTCCAGCCAGAGGGAAGGTCTGGGTCCAGCAGCAGGTTCTGGTCTGTCCAGATGTTGTCTGCAGGGACACAAAGCAGGTAAATGTGAACTGTTTAAAAGATGGAGCAAGCTTCTGTCTCTGAGAACATGGGCGGGGCTTAAACCTGCATTCAATCTGATGGCCACCAGTGGGCGATGTGTGTGGTTCCTGTTCTGTTCATGAGTCGCTCTATCACACGTGTGATAGACTGGAGCATCGACAGGAGCACGCTCATTGGCTGACAAACTGTGATCGACTGATTAGCCAATGAATGTGCGCCTTCGCATTTAAACCCTTTTGTATCGTCTATATCAGTAAGTATTTTTAACAGCGCCCCCTGCAGGTCACAGCAGTGGCTGTAGCTGGCGACCGCAGCCGGCTGCATCGGATCGTCAAAGCAGCTGCCGACACCATCGAACATCTCTGCCTCTGCTGCATCTTTCACAAACGCTGCATCAGTCAGGCCTCCTGCATCGTGCGTGACCCCTCACACGACTCTTTTCTCCTCCCTCCCATACGGCAGACGCTGTTGCAGCACCGGGGCCGATCCTGCAGACTGCGGGACAGCAGCTGAACTCACCACAGGCTCCTCCCCCCCACACACACACACACAAACTGTAAAGTGACTCTACTGGACGCCACAGACCACTGCTGGATGCTGCTCTCCTGCTTATGTTGATCACTTTGTTTCACACTGTGAAGCTGCTACGTTGGTCATTCTAAACAAAGTCACTTTAAATCTCAATTGTAAATTTTAGACTGTTATTAACCCTTTTACCTCAAAGTGTACATTTACTCCCCTTTATATTTTTAGATTTATTCTTATTCGTACTCTTCCTATATGTTGTTCTTGTGCTCTGTATGGAACTGGAGCCTCGTCGTCTCGTCTCCATATATCGAACTGTACATGGCAGAGATGACAATAAAGTTTACTCTGAGTTTGAAAACACTCGTTGAAGATTTTACAAAATCTTAAATATTCTTAAATTATTTTAGTCTTCTGTTTAAACCAACTAGCACCCCGTGATGATGATGATGATGATGATGATGATGATGAGTGTTACTCCATCCATAAATGCGAGTCAGGGTTCAAATAAAGCACTAGCCGAAGTAATCCCATTACTGCACTCATCTCTAATCGTGTCGTCAAACTTCTTTCAGATGTGAAAATGTTCAAATGTTCTGAACTCAGAGTTCAGACAAACATTCATTTTGTGTGCAGCTGAAACATGCTGCTCACTGTCAGCTCCAGCTTTGAGTCCACACACTGAGCTCAGACATCCATCACCTCACAGCTGCTTTAACCTGCGTCCACATATGTGCACATCACATTTTGGGTTATTTAGACCAAAATACTCAATTTTGCTCTACAAGGGCCTGATGTCCACTTACGAGGACATTATGCTGCTACTGTAATATCGAAATTTTAAACAAATATCCTCATTTTTCCTTAAAAACAAAAATCAGGTAATTCTTTGTTTTTACATTCATCAGGTCCCAATCAGCCCAAATATCAAAGAGAGTTCGGGTCGTATGGGGTTAAAGCACCGCTCTGCCCATCATCAGATCAGGTATCGATCCCGGGACATCAGCACTGCTGTCTGCTGCAGAGGACACGTCCATGCACGCGCAGTCAGCGCTGACACATCACAACTGCATCGGTTCACTTTGAAAGCAACGGCACTTACAATCATTTTAAATTCAATGAAGTGAGCGGTTGCATTTCTGTATAGACACATTCAGCAGCTCACGTTTAATGAAAGCGTCCTTTTAAAGGCAGCTGAACGCTCTGTGATTGGCTGCTCTCTGCACTGAGTCAGCGATGTTCAGATGTGCGTCCGTGGATCTGAAACGTTTTCTCAGGCGGATTCTGAACGAGCTGCTTCTCTGGTTCCCTGCAGGGTCCTGGGTGGTTCTGGAGAATCCTGAGCCTGAACATAAGTCTGTATGTTTCTATGAGCTGTGCCCCGAGCACGGACACGTCCACCACCTTGTGTCCTTCAGGCCTCCTGCTCTGCTCTCACACTGCTGACTCTCTGAGCTCTGAATCTTCCTGTTTTATTCCTGATATCTCTGTAAAAACTACAACAGGAGAGGCCGGCGGTGATCGGAGGTCACGCTGCGTTAGAGGAAGAGAGGAAACCGGAGAAGCTGTGAATAATTAATAAGTGCTCCGAGACACCAGACGCTGAATGGGCTGATTAAAAGACAACGATACGATCAGCCTGAGACGGGGAGGCGGGGCCATGCTGCTGACCAGCAGAGCTGCGGCCTGAAAGTCGTTCCCACAGCAGAGCACTGATTGTGTCAGACGACAGTTACCTGTGATGGGGAGCTTATACACACTGAGACGCTTACATTCAGTCATGTGGGGGATTTAATACTCCTGGTATATAATCACACGTGTTTCAGATTAAGATGAAAGTTTAAAGTCACGCTCATCCAAACCTTGATTTTAGTCTGTTTCCCCAAACAGGGAGAGACGCCTGCTGAGCATGAACTAAAGGTTTGTCTCATAAATGTTCATGTTGAAGCTGAACGTTGAGCTTCTGCTGGTTCAGGGCTGAGACGGCACCAACGACTGAGATACGAATATAAGAAATACTTTGATTATCCCGTGTTTGGGAAGCTTCCTTTACAATAATAATAATAATAATAATAATAAGAGAGACTCCATCTGTTGGTCAAAGTTACAAATTTTTGTTATTTTTTTTCTTTTTGTTTGTTTTTTCAAGAAAAAATCCGCCTTAGCTTTTTATTCATTTTCTAATCTGTATTTGGGACATTATTTTGTACATGTGTGACCCGGCTGTTTTAAATGGTATGAATAATAGAAATGAATGATGTACCGCGTTACGTATTTAAAATACAAAATATGAGTAACTGTATTCTGTTACAGTTGCCGTTTAAAAAGGTGGTATTCAGAATACAGTTACTTTGTTGAAATAAATGGATTACACGGTACTTCCTGTTTCATATGTTCGGCTATGCCCTCTCTGTTTTTGGTTTCCACGCCCCAAACAAAACGAGGCTCTAATGTCTGTGTCTCAATCTCGCGGCCGCATGATGATAAGAAGGAATAAGTTATTCACAAAAATGATTTAATATGAAGGCAACAGGCAGAGTGTTACGGGCATCGCCCTAAAGCAGCGGTCCCCAACCCCCGGGCCTCGGACCGGTACCGGTCCGTGAGTCGTTTGGTACCGGGCCGCGAGAGTTGAGGCTCAGGTGTGAAATATGTGGTTTTCAGGGTTTTATCGGTTTTCAGCGTTATTTTGTTATCGTTTTTATCGGTCTTTTCACGTGTGTTATGAATAAATCTTCTTTTTTTCGGTACCGGTACTAGTTTCATGTTGTTGTATTTATCCGCGACACCTTAAAGGCCGGTCCATGAAAATAATGTCGGGCATAAACCGGCCCGTGGTGCAAAAAAGGTTGGAGACCGCTGCCCTAAAGCATGTAGCCTGATGGGCAGCGTAGCCCGTGCTGCAGGGAGGATGGACCCGTGATGTGTTTGTGAGCGAGGAGGGAGAAAAGGAAAAGTAGGAGCTGTCACCGAGCAGAAACGGGAGCTGGAAGCATGTAAATATAATAATAACCACTGCAGCCAAACAGAGAGCCTGACGAGCCCAGCTGTAACTAAGCTGTTAAGACTCGACTGTACGCTGTGTTCGTGTTTTCCTCTGAAACAATGAGCTCCGTTGCAGCAGCCTTTCAACGCCTCTCTCTGTCTCTGCTAGCAAAGTTGACCCAGACAACAAAGTAAAGCTAGTTTTCAGCTACGAGCCGACATGAACCCGAGTATCAGCCAGAGGTCCCTTTACTACGGTTCGGAGCCGCGGACCTGTTTTATATACGCGAGGAATAGTTTTCTACACGAGATCCCTGCAAAAAGTGCAGCCTTACCTAATGTAAAAAAGCATGATAATATAATAAGTAATCCAAAGTATTCAGAATACGTTACTCTCATTGAGTAACGTAACGGAATATGTTACAAAATACTTTTTGGATTATGTAATCTGTAATCTGTAGTGGAATACATTTCAAAAGTAACCTTCCCAACGCTGCATATATATGAGAAACATGGCAGCTCTGAGTCTGGTCCAGCCCTGGATACAAACAGCTGACTTCACAGGCTGTGACCTGAGCGTCCTGTGTACCGACTGCAGCGGAGCTTTGGCTCATAATGACCCTTTAAAAGACGAGTGATGGAGGACAAACACCACCGTCCTTCTGTAGACTTTGTTGTGTCCCTCTGTGTTTTCCTGTCCCTCTCTAATGTTTTGGGCCTGATGAGGACCCCGAACACCAGAAGGTCAGTCAGTTAGCCAGTGAAGCTAACAAACAATAAAAACACTGAAGACTATTTCTGCTTATTCTGTTACTTTTCCTCCAATCAGCACTCATATGCTGGTTAGCTGGAAGACTTAAAGTGAGCACTTAGGTTATATATCCAAATGCTTCGCTCCGTGTAGCCACGTACCTGCACAAACAAACTCTAGAGCCAGGCTAGGGCTAACACATGGTATCATGCTAACAGACCCCAAATAACAACAACAACAAATGTTCTTAAATATCTGTGAACCTGTGTACCCCCTCTCTGCCTCCAGTAATATTTCTGTTTATATTTATACATTTGACAGCTTAACGTTGACTACAGTGATGGCTGTGCTGACAGATCTGCTGCAGCTGGATAATCCACGTTGACAGTAACTGTGTGAAAGGTGCACCTGCTGGCTACATACATGATGTACTGCCACAGACTGAAGCTAAAGCTCTAAGGTTCAATCATGACAACATGCTAACACAACGAACATAAGCTAACAAGTTCAGAATCATGAGTCTGTGTCAGAGCAGTGAAGCTAAAAGGTCAGAGGTCATGAGATTATGCTAACAGGCTGCAGTTTCATTTTTGTGGACAAACACGTTAGCAGGTCCTGGTTAGGCAGCAGCAGCACCAGGACCCCTGTTTGCATGTATGTGTGATTGTGTGTGTCTTACCATCATAGTTGACTATAATGATGGCCAACATGTAGTCCTTGCCCATCATGGCTCCGCCCTCCAATACGTGTGTTCCAATCAGCTGATCACCAACACACACATACACACGGGCCCAGAGGACGGTTGTTAACGTCTTCTCCCGTTCGCCTCTCTCTCTCTCTGTCTGTCTTTCTCAGTGTCTCTCGTTCCTCCGGCTGGCGCTCTCTCCGACGACACCATCAGTCTTCTTCTTCTCCTCCTTTGTGCTTGCCCAGCGTTTGTTTCTCCCTCTCTCTCCCTCCTCTCTGCCTGATAAACGATGCTGCTTGTCCTCCTCTCCTCCCTGTCCTCCCTCTCCCTGACTCTCCTCCTCCTGCTGATGTCATCACTCCCCTCCCTCTCCTATCTCACCCTTCACTGTAAAAAACTCAGTGTTACTACTGTGGTCGCGTTCACATAATGTCTGGTAAACAGTCAACTCGAGGCACTTCATATTGTACAGTAGACCCTACAATAACACATACAGAGAAAAACCCAACAATCATATGACCCCCAATGAGCAGCACTTTGGTGACAGTGGGAAGGAAAAACTCCCTTTTAACAGGAAGAAACCCCCGACAGAACCAGGCTCATGGAGGGCGGGGCCATCTGCTGTGATTGGTTGGGGTGAGAGAAGGAAGACAGGATAAAGACATGCTGTGGAAGAGAGACAGAGATTAATACTCCTCCAGATTTGGAGGTCTGATTCCCATTCCCACTGTTTCACACTCGGCTGCAAACCGTTCCAGTGCGAGCTGGAGGCCAGCACTCCATGAAGCCAACAGAACCACATTTTTTACAAAAAAACAAAGAAGAGACTCTGAGACCACCCAGTGAAGCCTTCAGACACTTCACTACGCCTAGACGTTCTGTCCATAAAAGTTATGAAGAGAATCGATGACAGAGGGCAGCCCTGGCTGAGTGCAACACCCACTGGAAACCAGTCTGACTTATTGCCGACTACGCGGACCAAGGTTGTATTAGGATGGCATGGCCTGCTTCAGAGACAGGGATGATAAATATGAACAAGTATCTCTGCCTGGTTTTAGACATCCAGCAGTTAATGTCATCAGTGCAGCTGACAGAGGTCACATCATAAGATCATCTGCACGGAACAGCAGGAGATGTTGTGGTTCGTTATGATTGTACCAAGTGGGAGCATGTACAGGCTAAAGAGCAGTGGACCGAGGACAGAACCCTGAGGGACCCCTGACTGGAGTGTGATTACTTTGACCGTTAGATATGGTGACAGGCAATTCATTTTGTTTGTTTTCAAATCATTTGCTGAGAAATGAAAGATTATAAATGATTAATTATCAGTGGCTCTAAGAGGTGTGACACAGATGTGACAGGTTGGTGGGGTCGAGTACAGAGACTGTAACTGATGAGAAACTTCAGGTGAGAAAGTTTAAAAATGGTCTTGTGGAGTTGAACCTCTATTTCCTGGATCAAAGTTTCACTTTTCACTTCACTGACGGGAGCACGATACACGGTTATTAGTTTGACTTTCACAATAAAATACTCCAGAGATCAACTAATGACTGCATCCAGGTTCATTAGTTTGTTTACAGTCTCGCTCTCTCTTTATTTCAGGCTCACTGCGTGTCTCACTACGTCATCATATCTGTGACACAGCGGCCACGTGTCCCGGAAATGTTTGTAATGCTGGGAGTTCGTGAAGCTCGAGACATTTCAAGATACATAACCATTTCCTTTTCAAAGTAAAAGCCTTAACATTACATGTAAGAACATGTTTAAACGCAACACTATAATCGTTTATTTATTTTCTAGTTTCTGGGCTTTTACTAACATTTATAAATTATTAACTCTAAAAAGTCATCTTGTTTCTTTGTTTGCTTGTCATAATCAGAAAACATGTATATTTACTCACTTAAGTAACTCAGTTATTGTATAATATTATTGTTAAATGTTATATTTTTATTATTTATCATAGGTTATTATTTATATGCAGCAATTTATTTTATTCCAATAATTCAGTGGTGACAGAAGAGTTTCTCTGCTTTTGCACATCTATCTCACCTTGAACAAGAAAAAATACATATAAAAATGCATATCCTTTCTAATATTGGTCTGTGTAAATGCTATAATATTTATTCAGAGTGATATTAGAAAAATATAAAATAAATAAACGTTTCAAGAAACTTTTATTTTGAAGCTGGACCGGAAACCGGAAACCGTTCCCCGTGTAGTCTGACCCGGGCCCGGCGTGTCCCGTCCACAGCAGGACTCTGTGTCGGTTTACTTTAAGTTTAATTTGGACCAAAGTTGCCCCGAAGCTTCGGTCCCTGTTTAGCTCGGTGGATTAGCCTCCCGGTTAGCTTAGCCCAGCTTCCCGCCGCTGCTCTCTGGACTCCAACATGGAGGACATGTACGTTAAACCCGGTGAGTTTCCTCCTCCCGGCACAGAGCGGCTCTGCCTCCATGAAGAAGGACATTAATGTTAACGAACGGCGTCGTGCCCGGTAACGATCTGCTCTCCTCTCATCGTCTATTAACAGAACACAGTGACGAACTTCATTCACAAATCTGTGAATTTAAAGTTTTTAGGACTACAGGCAGTAAATAAATAGAGTGTAAACATAATCTGTGTCAGGTACCAGTTATTGGGTTGTTATTCGACATTCGGCCAGCAAACAATCCATAAAATAGAAATGGAGGGTTAGTGTTTTATTTAACGGTAACGGGCTGTTGCGACTTGTATGAGTACGTGTAAGGTTACATTTGAATTTATGTCTGATTTAAACATGCCGTTTGTAGCTGATTTCTCTATGAGTGGAGTCTTCGTGTTCAGAATGATGAACCGGAGTTTGGTTGGACTGGCTGGACACGTAAATGAGTCCGCCTGCTCAGCTGGAACAGAATCACCTGAGAGCCAGGTAGTACCGGACTGCAGTCACGTGGTCAGCTGACTCCGAAGGGAGTCTGTGTTTATCTAACATCAGAGACACCGCGCGTGGAAAGAAAGACGAGACGAACCTCATTCAAAACTTGTTAGTTTTACATTTCGCGGAAGCTTCAGCCAGCTAACACACACCTGACACCTGTAAATGTTAGTGTTTCTTAATCCTGAGTGTATTTAGGTTCGGCTCACGAGTCATGCACCAGATGATCATCATCCAGGTGCAAACAGGAGTTTCATTTGATGTTTCCACAAACTGAAAGTCCTGATCAGGTTATAGCGGAAATCACGTGATCAGTGACGGCTCGATAAACGACCTGACTGACCTCCTTATGTTTACACACACGTGGACAACGTTAGTGTTGCTGTTTTTAGATTCCAGAGCTGCTTTCATTGATCAGTTATTGATTACGAGGCATCAGATGGTGTGTTTCTGTCTGACCGATGAGGGTCATTGATCACATGAACAGCTTCAGCCATCTGTCACAGGGCAAACTGGGGTATTGATCCCAGTGTGCTTTAAATTAGAGGATGGATCATGTGACCAGTGAGGGGATCAATAATCAGTCACATCTGAGTCACAGTAACGAATCTCCACAATCCACCTCCTGCGTGATGTGAGTCATGTGAGTTTGTGTTGTCCCTGAACCTCACACCATCTCACCTTTACCTGAAACGTCCCAGGTGGAAGGACCACGTCTTTATCTGAATTCTGCAGACTGTCAGGTCCCTGCCGTCAGCAGTGTTCTCAAAAATAGAAACGCTCTTTGCTGTTGTTCAGACTCCATTTTTAATTCCATTAAGTAGAAAATCGTGGGGCCGATCGTGGCTCAAGAGTTGGGAGTTCGTCTTGTAATCGGAAGGTTGCCAATTCGAGCCCCGACAGTCTCGGTCGTTGTGTCCTTGGGCAAGACACTTCACCCGTTGCCTACTGGTGGTGGTCAGAGGGCCCGGTGGCGCCAGTGTCCGGCAGCCTCGCCTCTGTCAGTGCGCCCCAGGGTGGCTGTGGCTACAATGTAGCTGCCATCACCAGTGTGTGAATGAGTGTGTGGATGTGTGGACGTGTAAAGCGCTTTGGGGTCCTTAAGGACGAGTAAAGCGCTATATAAGTACAGGCCATTTTACCAAAATTCTGTGAGCTCGGCCCTTCAGGTGTTTCAGGAAGCATTTGTACGGGCAGCAGTGGAGCAGACGGGACTGCGTGCAGCTCTTACTGAGGAACGTTTAGAGCTGGTTTAAAACTCCCAACTCTTTGAGCAGGTAACCAGGAGCGGGGCTGGAACGACCCCCCTCAGTTCTCCTATGGCCTTCAGATGGCCCACGGACCACAGAGGAACCTCCTCAACAAGAGACCGCCTCCAGCGCTGGCCTCAGGTACGAACAGTAGTGATGTGTCGCTCGATAATGAAACGGCTCTTATTGGGAGCCGTGTTTCTTTTTTTTTTCCTCGCACTTTTTTTCGCTTCACGCCGCACGTGAGCCTTGTGTTTGTGGTGAGCAGAGGGGGAGGGGCGGCAGTTACACTCACAGTAGCACAGGAACAGAGCAGGAGGGAGAGAGAGAGCCGGGGGCAACAACAGACAACATGGTGACATTAGAAAGGTAGAAAAGAAGCAACATCTGGACCCATTTCAGCTTTACTGACAACACAAAGGCAGAGTGTGAGTCTGCAAGAAGACGCTGTCGCACAGAGCTGCACAAACAACCTGCAACCTGACAACTGTCCACCCATCAGTGCAGGGGGAGATCAAACAGTCAGCTGAGTGTGATATTAATGAAGGTGCCAGTGTGTCTACACCACCACAACCCTGAACCAACCCAGAGCTCTGAGAGCGTTTGCAGAAGTCTGACCCAGCAAGACACGACTCAGCTGATAAAGACCTGCAGACATGACCGCACTTGATTTCCAACTATTTTCAGTTGCTGATGTTAAAGGATTCAGAAAGTTTGTTCACTGAATCCTGTGAATGCACTTCCAAACAATCCTGCCTGCATGACGGAGAACGTGCGTCTGCGCTTTGTTTTGCATATTTTCATTTATATTGTGTTGTGTTGTGGTCTGCAGTGTTTTGTGTTGTTAAGTAGTTAATAGCAGAATTGTAAATAGTTGGTTTTTGTATTTTATAATCTATGTTTTACATTTTATGGAGTGAATCAGTATTTCATTTTGTCCATAATTTTATGTTGTTGTTGATAATAAATTGATTCAAGCAATAAAACAAACAGTCAGCTGATCCACCTGCTGCTAAGAACTACAACCAGATACTTAATAATGACCTTCACCTATAGGTGCAGGAGCCCCACCTGCAGCCCCTCCCTCCTCCAACCCTCTCGCACCACCTCCCTGTGCTGTA